AATCACAGGCAGGTCAACCACATTGCAACCAAAACTTATCGCCCGAACTCAGACAATCCTTCGCGTGTATTATTATTTTTGCTCTCCACGACTCTCAGCAGCCTCGGGCTTCCTCCAGCCTGGCGGTTGAGGTTTTCCTGACTTTATCCGCTTGTCCTAAAACCCAACTTTTCGTCTTCTCGCTCCGCCCCCGCGACTGCTCTGCTTTTCCCTTTAGAGAAAGATTCCGACCAAAAAAAGGCGAAAAAAAGGCGATGGGGAAAAACCTCCAGCCCACATGAAAAGGGGAAAGGGTCTTTCTTTCTCTTTCTCTTTCTCTTTATCTTTCTTTCTTTCTTTTTCTCTTTCTTTCTTTCTTTTTCTTTTTTCTCTTTCTTTTTTCTCTTTTTTCTCTTTCTCTCTTTCTTTCTCTTTCTTTCTCTCTCTCTTTCTTTCTTTCCTCTCTCAGATAACGAAGGAGGCACCTCCTGGCTCTCTTCAGTTGAACTTACGGTTCTTTTGCTGGGGGAAACCCTGTTGGCGAGGCCCTTGGCTCGTTATAAGGGACTGGAGCCCCTTATGGCTAGGGGGGCTCGAAGTGCATCTCAGCCCACCGCGGAGTCGAGCACAGCTATGCCTGGACTCATTTGCCAGTCGCGTCTTTACTTCATCTTATCCGGGGGTATTTTGCGAACAGTGTAACCGGGGTGGGAGGGGGGGGGGGTTGGAGGAAAGCCTGGTTATCTGCCGATGAGAATATAAGCTTTATAGGCGCGGGGAGAGGGAAGGTTCAGAAACGGGCATAAATCCCTTTTCCTAATTGTTTTATTAGAAGGATCAGATTAATATTAAACCTCCGCGCGAAGAGCCCAGTCTCCGGAGAAAGCTTCCTCTTCCCTCCCCATCCGACTCCCCCTCGGGATCCAGGAACAGTAAACATCGCCAAAATCGACACAAATCTCGTTGAAACTTGAAAGGCTTTCGCTTCCATTCCTCGATTTTATTTTATTTTATTTTATTTATTTAATGGCGATTCCAATCGATTAGACACGTGTTAATTGGAGACCGGGCTGCTTAATCGCTACGACAGCCAATAAGATTTCTCTTTAAATAAAAATAAACCCGGTTTTCCTAGGGTGTTGCATTTGCTCCTAGTTATTAGAAAATAACCAAACGCATCCTTAAAACGCGCTTATAGGGAAGAGGTGGTCTCAATACACCTCCCCCCCCTGCATCAAACACAAATCGCGCTTCCCTGCCTTTCGGAGGCAGAGGCGAGAGCGCTGGGTGGCGAGACTTAAACAGCAAAACACCCAAATCGCAGACGACTGGCAAAGGAACCCGCGGCTTCTCCAGAGAAGGCTGGGTGGGTGGATTGGTTTCTCCAAAGAGGAAGATCTCTTTGCGCCAGGAAGATCAAATGCAGCCTCCCTTTACGCGCTAATGTTCTCTCCTTTCCCTCCTCCCGCCTCTTAAGCGGCTCCCATTATGTAGTTTAAAGTACAATAATCTCGAGGGCAAAGGGAGGGGATTCTGCAAATGAGAGCGGCAGCTCCAACAATTAACATGAAGGGGAAAATAGGATTCGAATTAGGTGGAACAAGATCAACATTTAAGCAAAGGCGCCCCTGAAAACTTCGCCGGCTTTTAAGCAGCCGCCTAAAGCAAGAGAAGGGACCTAGAGGCAGCTTTTCGCCAGCTGCGATCAGCTCGAATCAAATGCGAATTTGGGCGAGGGGAGGAGGACCAAATTCCCGCCCCATTCATCACAGTGGAAGTTGCTTCCCAAGACCTTCTCCCCTTCATGGGCGTGGAGAAGATATATATCCCACGGAGGGCCACGTGGACAGCCGCTTGGACCTCTAGACAAAAATCCACGCGTGTTTTTCTGACCACAATCACCTATCGGGGCAATGCCATTCATTGGCTTCTTATGCAGCACCGGGGGTTTTCGTGTTCCTCCACCCCACCAAAGCCCTTTGCCTTTCTCCTTATGAGCCTTTCAGATAATTGGTTTTTCTTATTATAATCCCCACATGGAAGCAGCGGTTTTGCAACTATTTCGCATTTGCTTTTATTCACCTCAACTTTTTTTTTCTTCTAAAAGAAGATCATTTCGAGAAACTATCCGCCCTTCTTTTGGGATCCTTCAAAAATAAATAAATAAAAGGGTTCTGTGCAGAAAACGTACTATGGGATCGACTTGAATTTTGCCTGACCTGTTTCCATTCCTCCGTTTTTCCGGTTATGGCATATTTATACACTTGATCATTTAAACAAGAACCAAGCAACAAAATGTGCACTCGAGGAAGGTGCAGCGTCATAAACAATGTTTATTAAGAAATCCCACCCAAACCAGTCGCATTTATTTCCGAGTCAACGATTCTGAACTCGGCCGCCTATCTTGGTTTTTTCCTTTCGCTATACATGCAGGCAGTGCTTGCAGAGATGAATGTATAAATAAAAGGCTCTGATGTTCTAATGACCACATTAGTCACTAAATGTGAATATACGGAAGGGGAATGTGTGAAGATGTTATTTCATTACACACACACATTCAGCAGAGTCTGTTCAGTTCAATAGGACTTCCTTTTCGACCCACTGGGCATACGATTTCAGATTTAAATGTTCTATTTCAAATATGATTTTAATATCTGGAAATCGGACGTCTGTGTGAGTCTTGTCGCGTGTCTTGCCTCTTGTCACTGCAAACATAGCAGCCATAGGAGAACCCCATTATCAGCCCCCAAGAATTGGATATGGATACACGGCCTCCCCTTCTCCCCCAAAGGGAAAAGTCTTAAGCAAACAAGAGGCGCGCCCTTCTCCCAGATTTCTATCCGAGGATGTTCGGATGACTATTACTTATTATTTCGGGAGACCTTGATTTGGGGGGAAGGAGAGATGGTCCACCCCTCCCAATAGGAGCACCCAGCCCACCTTCGCCCTTGTTTGGTTTTCACCCAACCTCGGATCGTTACAAAACCAGGATCAACGACGCCGAAGTGAGATTAAGGCAAAAAAAGGGGGGGGGGGAAAAGGGGGGGGGGAAAAAAACACCCCCCGCTCCACCCCCCCCCCCCCCCCTTGTCTTGACTACTTTCTTGGTCCTCCCTTCCCCACCCAGCATCTTCTCCCAGGTGAAACTTTCCAGCGGTCTGACAGACGTTGGCGGCGTTTTTTGTTTCTGTTTTAACTTAGCCGGCCTGGCTTTTCCTTTCTCTTCTTTTTTTTCTTTTTTCTTTTTTTTTTTGCGCTCGGATTGTGGTTTAAGGCGAAGCGAGCTTTTCCAGCGCATCCTCCACGCTTTCCCGGTTTAAGGTTGTTTTTCCTCCTCTTCTTCTCTCGGCGGGGCTGCGTTTCCTTTTCCCCTCCAGAGCATCTATCAATGAGCTGTCAATCAAGGCGGCGGCTTCGCTTTCATCTTCTCTCTGCCCGCCCCCGCCCTTTTCAACAGAGCCAGAGAGAGAGAGAGAGAGAGAGAGAGCGGGGGAGGGGGAGGAGGCGAAGCGGGCGGAGGGACGGCAAAGTTACGCTACACGAGGAGAGCGCGGCCCGCCTCGCAAGCCCACCAAGAGCTCCGTGGACAACCAGAAGCCCACCACCACCCCCCGCTCCCGCCCGGGCCGGCGATTTCCCGCGAGGGGGAACCCTGGTCGCAGGCCGGGAGCCAGAGAAGCGCAACCGGCACCTTCGGGGAAAGGAGACCTTTCTATGCCCGCCCCTCTCGCCGACCAAACCCGAGCGCGCGGTTATCCCCCCCCCCCCCCCCCCGCGCCCCCCCCCCCCCCCCCCCCCCACCCCCGGCGGGGCGGTCCCCCCCCCCCCCCAAGCGAGTGCCTGCGCGCCTCCGTCCGTGGATCGCTGAAGGGGGCAGCAGCAGCACCTGGAAGAAGTTTGGGGTGGGTTGGCCTTTGTGACCTCAAGGGGTTTGCAGCCCGGCTCGGTTTGGTGGGGGACGGGGGGGGGGCTTTCCTATTTCCGGAGGAGCCAACCTTCCCCCCCCCCCCCCCCTTTTTTTTTTAAAGGAGCGTCCCATTTTCCCCCGCCGCCCTCCCGAGAACTTTCGCTGCTGCTTCTTCCTCTTCTTTAGCTGCACCTGAGGAATTTTTTGGCTCCGTTTCGGCTCCGTTCCTTCCCCCACCCCCCCTTCTGTAAATGCCAGCCGCCCGATTCATTTCGCTTCGGGAGAGCCAGGACGGCACAGAGGATTATTAGGCAGCCGGGCAGGGGAAAAAAGCCTCTTTCCCTGCCAAGGAACAAAAGCGGAATCCTGGTGTGTTTGTGTCAGGTTTGCTCTTGCCACCGTTGGCATCCTTCCTTCCTCCCCGGGACCCTCCAAGGAGGGTGAGCCCCCAGGCGGGAAGACACCCCCGCCCCGGCCCGGTCCTTCCTGGGGTTCACTTCCCAACGGGGCCGCTTCTGTGCATCTCTAACGCTTCCATTGAAAGAACTCCGTTGGCTTTTCCTCTCCAACCCCAGCGTTGGTGCTTCACACCCACAGACACACACACCCACAGACACACACACCCACAGAGAGAGAGAGAGAGAGAGAGAGAGAGAGAGAGAGAAATCGGGCGGTTGTGCTACTTTCAAAAAAAAAGGAAGGGAAGGGAGGACCCGGGGGATCCCCAAAAGGAAGATCCGAGTTGAAAAGGTCTTGCGGAGAAGCCGACTTGCCCAACGCCTTAACTGCAGACACAACAGAACCCGGCAGGGAAGGGTAGGGGGGAGCGCGGGTCTGCCTGGCTCTTTGCCTTCCTTTCCCCTCCCCTTCTTTTTCCAGCAGACAAAGTCGACAGGGCCGGCCACACTCCAGTCTCGCTTGCTCTCCCCTCCCCCAGGTGTTTGGATACGGATGGGGTGGGAAAGGGAGGAGAGCGCAGCGCTTTAGGCTGAGAAAGAGGGAGAGAGGAGGAGAAGAGAGGGAGGCAGAGAGAGGCAGACAAACAGGCACATACATACAGAGGTGGGGGAGGATGGGGGCTCTATAGGAGTTGCAGCGCAAAGCGAGCTCGGCGTCCAAAGCCTTTTAACTCCCCTCGTTCTCCTTCTTCCTCCTGCTCTTCCTCTCTCTTCCTGCCCTCCCTTCTCCTCTTCCCCCGTCCTTCCTTCCTGCCTTGATTCCCGGGGTGGAAAAAGCCACTATGCCTCAGCTCTCGGGAGGCGGCGGCGATCCGGAGCTTTGTGCCACCGACGAGATGATCCCCTTCAAAGACGAAGGTGACCCCCAGAAGGAAACCATCTTCGCCGAGATCAGCCACCCGGAGGAAGAAGGGGATTTGGCTGACATCAAGTCTTCGCTGGTCAACGAGTCGGAAACGATCCCCAGCAGCAACGGGCATGAGGTAGGCAAGGGAAATGGGGCTTCCTCTAAAACAGAGGACTCCAAACTTGGCAACTTTAAGACTGGTGAACTTCAACTCCCAGAATTCTCCTAGCTGGGGATTGAAGTCCACCAGGCTTAAAGTTGCCAAGTTTGGAGACCTCTGGTCTAAAACTTCGAGGGTGTCTTGGGGTGGAGGGCGAGCGGGAGGGAGGGAGGGAGGAGTGCTCCTTGGCTTGACGGAGTGCGCAAAAGTTTCTGGAAGTAGTGGTGGTCAAGGGGTAGGGCCGGGAGCAGCGGGGAGTCTCGGAGCACCAGAGGAGACAGTCCGGAGGAGACAGTCCGCTTTGGCTTTTTGGGTGGGCTTCCCTTTGGTGGGAGCACGGAGAATCTTTTTCCGGTTTTCTTTCAGCTGTTCGCCTCAGTTCTGTCCTGGGATTCGTGTAGTAGGGAATAGTTATTTTCTTTTTTTTTTTCTTTTAATTTTATTTTAAAGGGCTTTCCTTGAGAGTTCAGGTCTCCACCTCCGTCTCTCTCTCTCCCCCCCCCCTCCCTCTGTGTGTGTGTCTCTCTCGCTCTCTCTTTCCGTCTGTCTGTCTTTGTCTCTCTATCTCTATCTCTCCCTCTGTGTGTGTCTTTCTCTTTCTCTCTCTCTTTCTTTCTCTTTCTTTCTTCACGGCCAGCTAAGGAAAGGGGGTGTGTGATCCCAGAATGGAAAATGGAAACTGCAAACCGCCAAGTGGGTTACAGTTTTGACCACGGCAGCTTTGAAAACCGATCTGCCCCGGTTCCCCATGAATGAATAGCGCTTGTGGTGGGAGGAGAGAGCGGAGATGGAAGCTGTTTGCACTCCCCTCCCCTCTCCCTTTGGAAGGAGAGCCCAGGCTCGCTCAGAAGCTGCGCTAGAACGGCGGATTTGTTTACCCAGAGTTTAATCGTATTGCTACTTTATCCCCAACTTTGAAGGGGGGGGGGGAGGAGGAGGGGGGAACAGAGACAAGGACAGGACTGCTAGAATGCCACTATAATAGCCTTTTCCCCCTTCGGCTCATTAGCTTTTTCTTTTTTTCTTTCTTTTTGGCAAATGGAGCATTTTGCTTCATTCCTTGCATGCAGAGGATGTTACAGACAGCTGTTAAAGATGAATTGTAAACTTCTGTTTTGAAATTAAAACGTTTGTGTTGGGTGTTCTCTGTACAGTCATATTATATTTGGTGCCCGGCCTTACCCTGATATAAAATAGGCTTGGGACTGAAAACAGAGGCAATTATGTGTGGCTAAGTATTAACTATTTAACCCTAGATGGAGAAAATGAACAGGACCAGGACAGTAATACAGATTCTGCCCTCCACCCATAACATTCTAAGCACTTTTCCAGAATAGATCTTGTCAGGCAAAGGGTCACAGAATTCTCCTCCCAAGAACCACAGTTAGGGATTTCCATTTGGATTTAAGAGTTGATTATAAATTGAGAAGCCCATTGCAGCTGTAGGAAAACAGGCTCGTGCACATTTGTATATAGGAAGTATCGACTGCTTGCATTGATTCATGCATTAATAAAACCCGAAGGTGAATTTGTTTACATGAAAAAAAAACACCTGAAAGGTTTGGAGAAATGTTATTTCTGTAGCTCAGAGATAGTAATAGCTGTTCATAAGTCAGAAGAGCCTCTTTCTTCCTGTTGCTTCTGGCAGGACTTGATGTAGAAATATTTTAGGAATGTAGCAATGGGCCCTGCCCTACTAATAATTAGGAAAAGGGTCTCAAACGCATCAGTTCCAAGTAAATTCCACTCACAATGTTATTTATGGGTAGGTACACACTGTATGTATATAAGTGTATATGTGTCACACTGAAGTGGGACTGGTCCTACCATCAGAATGAAACAGATGCTTTTGGCAGCTAATTGAGTTTTATAAAACAGCAGCAGTAAATTCCTAGTTATTTGTTTACAATTGTTGGCTTATTCTAGGAAAAGACACTTGTACTTCTCCAATACCAGAATAACTTTTTGTTCTTTTTGTTGTGCATAACAGTTACCTGGTTGTTTTTTTTTCTCATGCAACAAAATACCAAGGCTGTTACAATGAAAAAGAGGCTGTTTAAATTTTGTTCAATTTTTCAAATTAGTGCTTAAATTTGTATGAACTTTTATTGTTTACAATGAAGCTAGGAGCCTGTTCCAATGATTGTTGTTAAACTTAGTGTTATTTGGTTAATGCCTAGTGGTTACTATGGGTTCTTACATAGTATGCCTTTCCTTTTGTGTAAGGAATAAGCATAATGTGAGAGTGCCCTTTTCCCATAAGGTTCCAATTTTTTATGGCAAGCATCATTCAACATGGTAATACTTCGGGTTTGGTTTGTAAATTAGTTTTCATGGCATACTGAAGGTATATTCCTATGACTCATAGGATCATACATTAGCATTAATCTAGAGCAGCCATGAATATTTTTGGATTGAAATTAGCAAGGTTACAGAATTAATCATAAACTTATATTAAAATAAACTAGAGAGAAGTTATTTTGTAAAAAAAACAGTTTTTAATAATGCAATTTTCAATAAAACAAGCATCTAATGCAAAATAATGACTATGGAAGCCATTCTTAATATAGCTGAAAAGAGGATATCGGGACATCCTTCTTCCCTTTTGCTTATTTGTCCTGGAGAATGTTTTAAAAACACTTTTACTGAACTTGGACATTGACAGTTTTCTACTATGTACCACAAAATATGGTAGCCATCATATATGATTTTTTTTTTTTTTTTGGTTAGGTGTCTAGGCAAGGCCAGTCTCAGGAAGCTTATGAAAAAGGCAGAGAACATCCAGAAGAAGGTAAGAGATGTTTGTTTGTAGCAGCTTTATCCAACCTGGCAGTAGCCAGGAAATAAACTTCTTGTTCCCAGTCAGTATATATTACGGTTAGATATATATGGTATGGTCTCTGGATTTCACTGTTGAGATAGTGGGCCATCTGACCAAACCCACATTCTTTTTGAATGTGGATTATTGGTCATGAATGTGATTTTGGTATCTGACATTGTGTTTCTATGCCATGGTAATATTTCCTCAATCAAGCCAGTGCCCATTTTTCAAAAAATATAGTTTTAAAAAGATTTCTTATCTGCCAGGAAAGCATATGTATGCTATTCTTACAAGACACTATTTATTTATGTACTCAGATGTTTGCTTATTTGTTTACTTAAGTACAGAAGTGATTAATAAACCTTTTTTTGTTTCAAAACCATGATGAAGGAATCGGTTTAATTCACAGATACACTGGAGATCTAGACTGCTGTTAATTAAAGACAATTGTAGGAAGGTCCACTGGATACTTGGTTAAATAAAGTCTTTTATTGAGCCCAGTTAGGTTAATTTTTTTTAACCACAAAATATTTCAGCTTCTTGTCAAATCCTGAAATCAGGCGTGCCTTCTGTTACCCAGGAACTGTGATGAAGCACTTGTCAGTAAATATGGACAACCTAAATCCAACTTGCACTGCTTGTAAACTAGCCATTATTATTTAAATTAGATATTAAGCAGATTAAAAATGGAGCCGCCTCTGATGAACAGGCTCACTACTATCAGCAGGGTATTGTTGTATGTCAGCCTGAACTCTTTTTCTCCTTAATTGCTTCTAATTGGCCCAATCAGAATAAGCCAGATCATGCTGCATGTATAAAGACTACTAAAGTTTTAGAATTACACAGTCAAAAGTAGTGCATATTAATCATTGGGGAAAGCACATATATAAACATTCTCTTTTCCTTGTACATTGTAGGTGTAAACAGATTTATTTAACATTTTAATAATGTAGAGATCTGGCAGGTTGCAATTTTGAAGGTTGGAAATATTTGCTAGAAGTCAGCCTAACACACAGCACATGTATGGAAAGCTAAAATCTTACATCCATACATTCTTTCAAGAGGTTTTAAAACTTAACTGAGAAAAGACCGAAAGCAAAGCTGAATCTTTAAAAGAAGGCTAAAGCTGCCTGATGAAGATCACGCTATATAAAAGTTTCTTTTATATTAGAAATGTAAAGAACAGACTAAAATAACCCTTGCTTTTTACAGGAAAACACACAGATGGTGTTCTGTACAATAAAGGACCTTCTTATTCTGGGTATTCTGGGTATATCATGATGCCAAATATGAATAATGATCCGTATATGTCTAATGGATCTCTTTCGCCACCAATTCCTAGAACAGTAAGTGTTCTTTATGTATACATGTGACTGTATGTCTTTGTGTGTGTGTATCTGTGTCTGTGTGTTTGGTGCAATGAATGGAGAAAAGCTATCTCTGGAAAGACAAGCTTTGTTTACCAAGGAGCAAACATATAATGTTGATAACGTTTTGGAAGACTCTTCCTGCTATGGGGCAATTCCTCTCAGATTCATTTCTAATTGCATTCAGACATTTTAATAATATTCAAAAACCTGTAATGAAGCATAAGGGGTAAATTGTACAGAATGACTGGGTGGTATAACTTCAATAGCAGATGTAACCATTGGCATATGCTTGTGATGTTCATTATAAAGTACATCTTTGTAGATGCTGACAGTTGCTAAAGCAATTGTTAAGTTTCTTTTAAGTTTTCTTAGGATTAAGCTTCATTGGTTCAATTAAGCGATTACTTCTGAGAAACATGTGTAGAGCTGCTCCATTAGTGGTTACTTGGGTCTAAAGAGACTGAAATCCCCAACATATCTTACTAGATAAACCCAATAAATCTGAGGTTTGAATTGGGCTAGTGGTAAGTCAATCTTATCTATTTTTGCTGGGCAATTTCCCCCCCCCCTTTATATTAGTTTAAAAATGGGATCAAATATTCAGTATTGACAATACTTTAAACCAAAAGCTAGGGTCACTGTCAATACATTTGATACCCACAATTACATATTTTAAAACCAAAAGTTACTTCAAGAGCTAATTTTTCAGGGTCTCAAAGACTAATGTTATTTTTCTCTTGTTGGGCATTTTTAATTCATGTAAATGGGATAGTTTGAGGCGTGCTTAAATAATTTATTTAATTTATGGTGGAAAATCCACAGGAGGTTATGAGTTTCTGAGTGTTTAAGTTATTGTGTTCTCTAAGATTATTATAACCCGAATGTTATAAAGACAATAAGTGAAGTGAATTGGAATGAATTAAAGCTTATGTTAAAATGTATTTGATTTAGATGGCATACAATTCTTTTGTGATTTCAACTGTATTTGAGCCCTGATTGCATGAGACATAGAATTTAACACACATCTATAAAATGCACATATCATCCTAAAATATTGTGCAGGCATATTAAAAAGGTCCTTAGGATAATCAGAGTTTCAAAATTACTTGTACATTTGGAACAATGTACATTTAATGGCAAACTTGAATTAGGAATCTGCGATGTTTGAAACAGTGACCTCGTCTGTTTCAGTAGGAATCTTGTTTTAAGTTGGTGGAATTTACTGCTGAGTAAACAGGAATATATTGCGTTGTGTATCTAGAGATGGTGGATGCAATGTTATCTGCAGTGCTTTTGAGAAGAAGAGATAAATCAGTGGCACAATGATGTGCATACTTCGAAATATGCAGTTTGTTGTTATATATTAACATGCTATGATTTGTCTGGAAACAAGCCAAATGTCCCAAAATTCGGTATATGAATCAGCTAAAATTTTATAGTTAAATATTACCTTCTACAAAATGTTTGTATTGGCTTTCTCTAGAGACTAATAATAGATTTGGCCTGATGAATAGTTGTTGAATCTGTATTGGAGAGTGCCAGTAACTTATAATGGTTTTGTATTTCTGCCTCAACTGAAAATGTGGTGGTTGAAGAGAAGAGAATTATTTTTAATGCTAAATATCATATTAGTAATGGACATATCAGTATTCCTGACTGTTTTATGCATTTAGTGATTTGCTTGATAATTAAGAAAATAGAAAGTATGGTACAATAGACTCCTAGAACTTATATCAAACATATTTGTAGTAAGGAACTTTACTATGGAGGTAATAATATTGTTCATTTTGTGAAATAGGCGACATATCTTTTCTTATATCACTGTAATTATCTTGATCAGCTACTTGTTGTGCCTCTGAGCAAAAAGACCTGCTCTTAGCACAATATATTTTAAAATATTTGGAGACTTTGCAACTAGGAATTTTACCATAGTTGAAAACTCATCATTATTTTGTATTTTCCTGTTATTTGTTTTATTGTAGGTTGTGTCATTCAGTGATAGGATGAACAATTCTTTCTGGTTTCATTTAACTTATGTGTTTAGGGGGGGAAACCTACAGAGTTACATAAAATCCCATAATATTGGAAGTGATTTGAATTGAGGGTTAGATTTAGAGCTGGAAGTAATTAGAATTAGGAGGGAATTGAGAGGGAAACAATGGGGACATTTGCAATAGCCTGTAGGAGCATTCTCCCTTAAACTCACTAGACTTCTCAAGATTTGTACTTTCTTGGCATACATACAAGTGTGTCGGGAGCCCACACTTTTCTGTCACAGCTTTTTCATCTTCCCAAAAATTATCACCGACTGCCTTTGACCTCTTTCTCTTTTTAGACAGATTCAAATTGAGTACTGTTTGTATGCCATCTGGAGTTACTGTGTGTGAGTTGGGTGGTTATATAATTGTTTAATAAAGAAAGAAAGAAGACTGCTATGATAGATTATGTGGAAATGGTTCTTGGTTAAATTGAAATAGCCATGTGTGTGGGTTTGTTTTATGCTACACTTGTGGAATTTCGCATTAGCATAACAAAAAATCCACATATTGACTGTATATGTTGCCCAAGGTGTCAGTTCAAACAGTGATGGTTCAAATTCTGAACCACCAAGGGCAGTGCCTTTTTTTCTCAGCTTACACACAGTAGACTGATTTATTCATGTTCAGGGAATGTAATGAATTCCATTACAAACTTCATGTACTTTCCCCATATTTATTAAAACTTCTGTTACCATTTTTTCAACACGGGAAAAACATGTTTATTATGAAACCCTTGGTGATTATTTCTCTTCTTAGGATACTAATCTAATTCTACAACCCTGAATATTTTGAGTATATCATCTGAAAATATCCTTGAACAGAAATGTACCTACAAAAATTCTACATATAAGCTGCATTAAAACATATTTTAAACACTTGAATGCATATTGCATAACTTGCCAAACCAAAGGATATTGCTAATAGGGCATTTATATTTGGATATGCTATAGCAGTGTGGTAGAACAGCAATATGTGCATCTTTTGGTATAGTTTTCAGTGTATATGCTGATACTATGATGATTTCAAAATTGCACTCTGTTTTAGATAAATTGTGTATAGTATCGGTATGTATGGTACTCTATTTTGAGAAAAGTTGTAGCTTTATGTAGGGATGAGTAAGGCTGTGCATCTGTTTGGAATTTTCTTTCTACATCTTGATTCCTCTGATTTTAGTCATATTGCTAGGCTACACAGCATAGTTCCTTCCATGAACAAAATATATTATGTGATAACTGCTCTTCATATCTTATGTACAAAATCTCTTCTTGGTAATATACAGTATAACAACTAACTAAGCATGTAGAAATTTGATCAGGTTGAATTATGTAGCATAATTAAAATTCTGCAATTTTCTATACAAACCTTACTCTGTAATATAGTGAATTTCCTAAAATAATAACATAAATTTGTGCTATAAACAATGAAAATGCTTTCTATTTTTGTTTTTGGAAAAACCTTACTTTCTTTCTTTTAAAAGCTCTTCGGTTATATTTTGCACAGCTTACTTTCTTTCTGAAATTCATATCATGGAATGTCTGAAGTTACAATCTTCAGATTTACTAAGAAGCTGCTATAAACTATGGAAGGAAGCAGGAGAAGCAGGTGGAGGAGCCCCCAAAGGCAGAAGTCTGCCCTTCTCAAAGCAAGCCATCATAAAGCACAAATGTTAAGAGTGAGATGTTTAATCCTTGTGAATATAGCTTTTGGTGCCTTTTGGCAGTTCCTGACATAGCAGAGTGGGAACTAATGGAAAGGGGTAGAGAAGAAAGTGAGATATATATATGTCTGTGCTTTGTGGGATTTTATTCCTGAAAATAACTGCACAAGGTTGAGTAAAATTTTGAATGGCAACATTAAGAAATTCTGTGCTATGTAGTCTTCTATTCTCAGTAAGATGTTTCTAGTTTCAGTTATTAGATAGCTACTTAAAAAAAATATTTTGCTCAATGGAAGAGCCATGTGCTTTCTAGAATAGTCAATAAATAAAGCACCATGTTTTAAAGACTATAAATCTAATTTGCAGCATTGAAGTTGAATGTTACCTTTGTTTTAAGAAGCATCCCAATCTTAGTGATATCCAAAATGTAAGTGAATGGAAACTACCCAAATGTATAACATAAATGTTACCAAAAGCTTGATTATATGGTGAAAGGAAATTAATTTTAATTTCAAACCACAATGCTTTTATTTTACTTTGAAAGTGTTTTATATAATTCTTAAAGAGTTGCAAGGAAGGAAGGCATATTGTGGCAAATAGTGTAGCACAGCAATAATTTAAGCCAGAGTATGCACAGATAAATTAAGAATATAATCTTATATATTATATGTACCTTACAGTGTCTATGCTTTTCCTATGCTGCAGTCTTAAAAAAATAAAACTGTTCATGGAGGGAAAAAATTCTTATATGTAAATTGGCAGAGTACATTTATTACATATTACTAATTCTGTAGCATCTTCCTCTTGAAAATTTTCAAAGGTTTGCAATAGTAAAAGTTGGAAATTTGCAAAACCATGGAAAATGTATTTCTTAAAGGTCAAACTCTTTCAATTTGATTATGTGGAAATGAAAGATTTTGCATTTTCTCCTTGCAATCTTCCTAATGTTTATGTTCCATGGAAAGATTTATTGAAAGGATATGTTCCTTTTGACCTCTTGCCCAACTGAAATTGTCCTTTACTAAAATTTTGAGCACAGGTAGTTTTTAAAATATGCCTGTAGGCACATACACACCTTAAAAGGATTAAGACATGACAAAATTGCAGTGGTAGTGATTCATTCAAATGATGTTGAATGCATACTTGTGTTTCTTTGCATGATAATGGATTTAAACAAAGCTCTGGCTATATAAACATTTTAAATAAATACATTTTAAAAAATAAATATCTTAGTATCTTTTCTTCTCCATCTTGCATAGCTAATGGTGGCATTGTTGGCA